TATATTTTCGAATACTATTTAGGACGGATAGTATGCAAATTGGGACGCAGCACATGTAAGTGTTCGAGGTGTGTGATTAGTGAGGGAATGTGTTGCAGGTGTGGGTGATACTGGTGTTGATTGAGAGCGTTGTGATTGGCTGACGGTGGAGCCTGGCTGATCCGTGACAACATTGTAATGGACTCATTTTCTAAGTAGAAGCTTCAAGATAATATGTGTGTAAAATTATGAAATAATTTCAACCCATATTAATATCTCATATCCACATGTGGTATTTTATTAATTTGGTATTAAAATTGATTCTTCATATTTGGGTGAACTCAATTTAGCGATCAAAATATTTGTTTAAAAAAACTAAATTTTAAAAAGATGTAAGAAAAAGCAAAAGCAGTTTAGAAAAGATTATAGTGATACGGCCTGTCTGAATGGTGTCATCGTGCTGTTGCATACTATGATATGCAACCATAATCCCAGACCACAAAAACCTGACCTAGCTTTCATTTACCTCACTGACTTTTGCTCTTATTCGTTTTAAATTAGAGATGACGACAAGGCCCTCACTTTATCTGACAGACATATCAGAACATCTCTCTAGCCATCATTTAAATGCATTGGTCAGCCAAGACTCAAACAATGTGAAATGTAACTATTTACATAAGTACACCAGAGAGGCAAGAGTTTTGTATGGAAAACACATTGCCCACCAACCTATTCTTTAAGCACCCACATTTTCTCACAAAAAAACCCACCCTGTCATCTACTCCACCTCCACTCAAACCGAGTTGTGTGCATGGAATTTGTGTGCATGCATCATGCAATGAGTCGGGGGCTCTGATATGCACAACTGCAGTTTTTCACATGCACACACGCACCATCCAAACATTTTTGTATGTTAATCCAATACTGAATTTTTTTTTTTCAAATATAAGATACTGTACTAAAAGAGATTGAAACCATAGTGAGTTTGTGTAAAGTATTTGTACTGTGAAGGGGGAAATCCCACACTGTAAAAAGTAATACCTAGATCTAACTTATAAAAAGTGAGGCAAGTGGCTGCATTGGATGTTTTGTGTTGATTCAACTTGCAGCCTTTTTTAAGTATATTGAACACTTTAAAATTACTTTATACAAACGCAACAAAATCAAGTTGAGTTAACTAATAGTACTAGTATTACTCAGTTAGATAAACCTACTTTTCTTGGTACAGGTAACTTATTTATGGGTTGCTACAAGTAACCTGTACTCATTTTAATTAGGTTTTATGAACTTTATTTTCTTAGTAAAATTGACTTAATCATATGTGAATAAACATTTTAATATAATTTTTTTAATTGTCAATAACAATTACAAATTCAATTGAAGAAGAAAAAGATGAGAAGATAGATTGAAGACAATATTCAATTTATTCAATGTCAACCAGTGTCACTTTTAACAGTGACTACAAAACAGCAAATAAATGTGGCCGCACATGTACACTCTAATATAAAACAAACACTGTAGAAGTGTATTTTCAACCTGTTCTGAACAGTACAGTGAAATATCCAAACTGCCCAATCTGAAATGTTTGGATCAAGGTAAATGTGAGCCATAACATCACATTGTATCACACTGGAACTGCAATGTCAAAAATGACATGATGATTGTTTAGGACGCACAGGGTCCAATCCTACAAAAAGCCTCTGATATATCTCAAGTATACACCAGTTTTGAGGGAAACTAGAGGTCGAGAGGCAAACAGGTTAAGTTCAAACAGGAGGCAGCATGCTTTCGACAGGTTTGGCACACCTCTGACCACGGGCTGTCCTTATATGATAATCCCAATCGTGTCGGGGTGATGGCACATGTACATTTTCAGTGGGCAACTCCCAAGCTCAGCGTGCACCTCTGTTTCAGCCCGACTCTATTGGTGGAGACAAAAAAGAAACAAGAGTTTGGTCAGACAAATAGGAAATGAGATGAATATAGCAGACAGGTAGAAGAGATAAGACACAAAGTCCAAATTGTACTTTTGTTGCTAAAGGTGTTGAATACAAGATGGATACTGTGACTAGAACATGTGGCCAGAGTGAAGTCTACCATGACAATGCCATAGAGTGTGGGTACTAAAATATCATGATAGCATGAGTGTTGTATTTTTCTGGTTCAAAGGATGCATTACAATAAAACAAATGCAATTGTCCTTGCCTGTACCTGATTGGTCATCACATTACTGTTAATTAAGCTACAGAGTTTAAATATCTTTCGAGAGCAAACGTAATCACCCCATATCAGCACAATATTAATAAACCCACAAAGCAAAATTATGTCCAAAAGACATCTTTTCAACGTCTTTGTCACAAAGACGTACATTGAAAAGACGTCCACTGAGGAGCCAGAATGAAAGTTTTTAAGACTTTTTTTGAGGTGTTCTGTAATGAACGTTCACGGAAGCTCCATTCAAGGTTGAAAACTAGTTCAGATGTGGACAATGTGGACAATTTTCATCATCATTTAAGCTCTCATTTGGACAATTTATACTTATTCTAGACCAAATAAACACTCTCAGGATATATTAAATTAAAACTCACATTTATTTCAATGTAATTTCCAAAGCAATTCTGCAAAGCAATTCACAGACAGTGAAGTTTCTTTTCATGATTTTTGGACAAACACGCACTGACACCTTTAGACAGCTTAGCATCTATAATTTATACATATTTGGATCGTGAGAGAAATCAGATTCGAACCAGGGACCTTAAGCTGCCTGCCCTAAGTAGACAGTAATGATTTCATGATTTTTGGACAAACACACACTGTCTGTGAGTTGCTTTGCGATTAGAAATTACGTTGAAATAAACATGAGTTTTAATTTAATGCATCCTGAAAGTGTTTATTTGGTCCAGAAACAGTTTAAATTGTCTAAATGAGACATTAAATTACATAAAATATGTCCACATCTGAACTAGTTTTTAACCTTGTATGGAGGTTCCCTGAACGTCTATTGGCGTTCAGGCGTTCAGAACACGTATAATCTGATCAAATTGTAATTGAATCTATTCTGAAGTTTGTCTTACCTGGATGTGAAGCTTGAAGACCCCAGGTAACAAAAGTGCTTGGGTATCTAAAGACCAGGAAAATGTTAGATGTTAGAAATAAGGTTAAAAAATCAGTTGTAAATGTAACTTCTTTAAGTAATAGGTTAGAAATAGTTTAAAAATCTAGACCAAAAATCTGTCATTAATTGACTATGCAGCATTAAAATAACGTGGATCAAATCTCTAAAATCAGACAGACTACTAAACATACATCTCTACAGTCTAATCTGTGCATCTGCTTTAGTAATGCAAAAGTATAATAACATATTCTCTGAGTCCTGTTTTCCCTTATTTTCCCGCACAACTATTGCCTGAAGGCTCGAGAAATTGCGACCGTTTCGATCGCATATGATCCCGCAATTGAATCTGTGCAATCTAAAAATATAACTGAGGCATTTGTGCAACTAATTATTACATACGTAACTTGCTGTTGTCTGCCGATCGACCACACTGTGCAGCCATCTTAGCTTGTGCAGGATAGCTAGCTATACAATTAGCAAACCTAACCTCAGCTCCCTAGTGGAGTAAGCGATTTTGCGTGACTTTAGTTTACATCACCAGTCATTCGGCTAAATTTGCTCAACTTACCGTGTTAATCAGACCCTGAAATTCAGATCCGCTGCAGCGACCAAACAGTTGAAGTGCCGAGGAAGATATTGCATCTGCCTGGAGTCCCCGCCAGTGGAAAAGGGATAATGCCAACTTATAAAATTTAAAATATTTACGTTTGATGAACACACCTGTCACATCGACAGCTGCTCAAATAAATTGTGCATTGTCAACTCACTTTTATAACATTTATTGTACACAACAACCACATACAAATAACTACCCAAATAAATTGCATGGGTTTTATTTAAAATATATTGTTATATAAAAACTGATATATTTTAAGTAAAGAGGAAGTATTTTGATACTTTTTTTGTATAAAACCAATAAAATAAACTAGATTAGAAATATTTAAAATATATTAAACCTACTTTGTGGGTGTAGCACTTTTTACAGTGCACAGAACAGTGTGGATTTGAGTGTCTAAACCCACACAAGGGTTAACAGTAGTTAACACTTCACTATAGTTTACCCACTGACACACACACACACACACACACACACACATTCTTGTATATCTATCTTAGTGAGGACATTCATTGACACAATGCAAGCTCCTTACCATTACCCTATACCATCACAACTACTGCCTAACCTGAACCCTAAACCTAATTATATCCGTATCCCTAAAACCAAGTCTTGACCCTCAAACAGGCCTTTAAAAGAAGTCTCAGAAAGTGAGGACCGGCCAAAATGTCGTGTTTACTCTCTTTGTCCTCGCTATGATGGTCTGAAACTTAAACGGTAACACTAAGGTGCATCAGTTAACATTAGGTGTTAACATGAACTAAGAATTAACAATACATCTACAGCATTTATTAATCTCAGTTAATATTAATTTCAACATTTACTCATACATTATTAGAATCAAAGGTTGTATTTGTTAACATTAGCTAATGCACCGTGAACTAACACGACCAAACAATGAACAGCTGGATTTGTATTAACTAACATTAACAAAGATTGACAAATACTGTAACAAAGTTAGATAATACATTAACTAATGATAACTAATGAGAAGGACTTAAACTAGTTACCACTTAAACTAGTCCTCACAAAGATAGATGTACAGGTGTGCACACACACACAAAGAAATACTACAGAATTTTCATTTTAACATACATTTTATTTATTAATTTTTTATAAATTAATTTACAGGTTATTGAATAAACACATGAAACACAAACTTCTGAACTTCAGGTATAAGTTATCGCTAATAACTAATCGCAAACCACTTTTTATTGGTTATTAACCATATCCGGGGGAAAACATTCAATTGAGCTGAGCTGAATAAAAAACATGCATTGCAATGACATGTTAACTTATTCACATAGTCCATGGTAAAGTAGTTTTTAGTTTATCCTGTTGTATTCCAGTGTGATGTTGTGTTCAGCATTGATGTTGTTTGAAATGTTGATGTGGAGAATATGGGACGTGCAGTCGTTTTAATTGCCGCCGCCTTCTTGTCCACAAATTTCATGGCTCTTTCCACCCATGGCAAATGTGGTTTGGAGCAAGTAAAACCGCTGGCTGTTTTAAATCTGTAAAGACACAAAAGAAACAATTAAGCATGATAATACAAACAAAATATACAAATGTACAGATGTTGATTCAATTTATATACAAGTATAATAAAAGGCATGTTATGGGTAAAAAGCGTAAATACCTTATATAAAAATAAAAACCTGGCCAAAAGAACTATTCTGACATATAAGCTCAGATTTATCATAAAATATAATGTTGAATAGGTGCCTAAAGTCTATTACGGTATATGCACTTTCACAAGAAAAAAGAGAACTCACACAATGGCATCAATATGGCAGACACCTGCTTTTTGTACTGTGTAACTTCTGATATATTCCTTGCGGAGAACACATTTTGACGTCTTGAGACAAGGACAGGTTGAACGGCCAGACTCTACAAAACCCAAAGGAAACAAACATTTTAATCACATACATTAATTTAGTTAACACAATTTAATTCAAAATAACATTTTAATCAAAAAGAAGTGTTAATATGGCATATACTGTATATGTAATTTTTTACAAATAGGTAAAGCTTCTTACGTTGGCAGGTGACTTGAGCAAGCAGCACAGTAGCCAGGAACAGCAGAGGAGTTATCGACACACACTTCATCTTCTTTGTGTGAGTCTGATGCGTATTGTCTCAGCTCACCACAATGTGCACTTTTATAAACACTCACAAGGGGGAAAATGAACATCAGAACTTCCTCCCTCAGAGATGTCACCTGTCTGCATGGAAACAAGAAGCCCCCACATCACCTTTCGGTCGACCACCATATACACGCAGGAACATTCACAGCTCTCTAAAATGAGATGCATCACTTTATTTAGTGGTCTACATGACCATGAGAGTGCGGTCACTGTTAATGTAGGTGTGTCATACAGTGGAAAGTACCAAGATGTACACATAGTGACGGATAAAATCAATAACGAATGAGCTTTGAAAATGATATATTTGCCAACTATTACATAAAGCGTCATGTAAAGTCTTATATATATATAAAATATTAGCTTACAATGCTAATATAATATATATTATATATTTATTATAAGTTAATATTTGACTAATTTTGAGCAAAAATAAATAAGTAAATAAAAGTGAAGATGTAAACATTGTGAATTTGCTCTTCATGAGTTCTTTCTATAAGTTGGTAATATTGAGAGTGTTGTGAGTGTTGGTTTCCTGTAGTCAGGTGTGGTTAGTGTTCTGAAGGGGCTCTGTGGTCATTCACCGAACTCGGGGGGAAATACGCATTAAACATACAGCCTTTTTCCAAGTACAGAGGGCACAATTTCTAATAACCCAACCACTTACACCGTAGGTGCTTTATCTGGAAATAATTAATGTGACGATGAATGTTCATAATAAAAATGATACTTTTTTTAAATTGGTATATCATTTATTTATATTGAACAAAATAATCTATTCCAGTGAACAAATAATGGTGGTTGGCGTGTTTGAAGGCCTTCACTATGCCAAGAGACATTTATTTCAGATTAAATATTCTCTAAAACAACATTTCAGCTCACTTGCAGAACGCAAAGCTGGTGAGAATAATAAAAGGGAATGTTTTTAAAATGTGAATCTATCGATGTGACTGACTAGGGTAAATCATTGTGGTGTACTGCAACTGCAACATCATGACCTTTAGCATGTGTAAAGATACGACGAGGCTTGGCAGGGAGTGCAAGTGACCCGCAAAACCTTTATTTGTCTCCAAGACACATTCATCTCTATAGACAACAAAGTAAACAGCATCTTGCAAAATGTTCAAACAAAGAGTGGCACGCTATCGCTGAACGCACGCATATGTCATGAGATTTCCGGGGGGGCTAGATTTAGATTGATAGATTTTTCTGATACCTGACAGGAAATTTTTGCAACACCAAGCAAAGAGCAGACAATATGCAATAGAATATATACACTCTAATAGAGCAATACAAAAGATACAATATACAATACAGATTGTGTGGAAACATTTGAGGGTACATGAAGCCATGAAAAAAAATATTGGATTCTATAATGGAAGACATTTCACATGAATGGAAACAGCCAGACATTAAACTTTTTGAAACCTAATCCTGCTTGAACTTTAAATGGCTTTTAACTAATCACTATGGAGGAAAATTCACAGGAAAATGATCACACTGACTGGTTGATGGAGCCACAAAAACGCATAATAAAATGTAATTTAAGTTTATGTTGCTTGAATTGTTTTATTTCATCAGAATACATGGCAACTTTTTAATGCCTGTGAATGGCAAAGCATAGCCTGGGAAAACCCACAACTTCCGGAAAATTTAGATTTGCTCTGAAAGTTAGTCTGGCAAAGAGCTCATTCAAGCCCATTTCCAATCCGTCGAAATGGAGGCACCAATCAGAAACGTTGGGGCGGGCTTTACACGATGACGACAGCGCTGGGATTTTGAAGCAGATTTTGTAGCCTACATTACAAAGATGGATGCCACCGTCGAACATCACTCGTTCAAATCAGCTATCGCGTCTGTTTTAAGCGATTTGAACGTTTCCTTTTTGTTAAAAACCGAGCAAAGAACAACACTCGGAATGTTTATCCGCCGCTCTGCATACGTCATCTCCTTCATCGCTCTGATTGGTTTTAGGTCTATCCGCGACGTCCGTTGGTGACGCCCCTCTGGAAATGATTTGTCTATGATGCTTTGCCAGACCATAACTCAGTTACAACTGAGAATGGTCTGGTTTTAACCAGGCTAGGAAAAGCATGATTTTTACTTGAATAATGGTGTAGTTACGACATCTACCAGCAGGGGCTTATTAATGGAACTAGTACTGTTGGTCTGGACCATAATTTACACCTGAAAAATGATACTGAGAAATTTGAATACCTAAAGAATTGAACATACACCGATGAGAGTTAAAAGAGTAGAATTATTTCGACCTCATTATTGTACCTGACCAATTAGAAACAATGTCCAGGCCACTTGTTCTCAAAATAGACAGGTGGGGTGAAATTAAAGGATATCCTGGCTGTTTTGTTTTTCTTGTCAAGATGAAATAAGTTCTGTGAAACAAGCTGATTATAGACATTATCACACCTATATGTGCTAGTATGCAAACAGCCACATGGCACTGTCAAGTCAGTGGAGTTGTTGCATTTCAAAGGCTTGAATAATATGCAACATGAAGACAGTGTGAAAATGCATGCAATCAAAACAAGTTTTTACCTAAGAACTAATCAAAAATTTGTTTAGAAATGTGGTTTCAACATTCCTTGAGCCACTTGCACTCAGTAGATGGCGACATGTACCAAAAAGAGCGAGAGAGAATAAAAGAATAAAAGAAATAAGCTAAATTCATCACTAGAGGGGGCTAACGGCAACACAAACACAAAAACACACACAAATGTTTATCTAATTACACAAATTATAAGTCATGGACTTTAAAATGAAGACCTATTGAATTGAACATACACAGATGAGAGTTAAAAGTGGACAATTATTCACACCTCATACTTGACCAATGTGAATCAATGTCTAGGCCACTTTTTCTCAAATCAGACAGACAGGGTAAAATAAAAAAACTTCTTGTCATTTATATTTCCATACCACTTCTTGCAAAAGAGTAGGTGTAAAACCCCAATGTCCTGGCCAAATACTCTATATTGGCCCATATAAATCATGGCCTTCAAAGAATCCCCACCCACTGAACTGGCTCTATCTCTCGCTCTCCTCTCCATCTATAGCACTGGCACCATTGTACACCATTCATGTGCTGTGCAGTCAGTGGTGTTGTATTTCAAAGGCTTGACTAATGCAATTTGAAAATATATATATTTTTACAATCAAAACCGAGTTAGACATTTGCTTTCAACATTCATCCATGAGCACTCTCAGTAGATGGCGGCGTGTACCAAAAAAATTATAATAACAATGAAATAAAGAAAGAAGCTAAGGTCGCCACTAGAGGGCATCAAAAAAAAGGCATCACAAATGTTTAATTACACAAATTATAAGACAGACTTAAAAATGTACTTTGACAGCAAATTATGTGTGAAATGATGTATTAATCACACTTCTACGTTTTTAAGTCTCGATGGACAATACATTTTCACATCAACAGCATCTGCATACTTATTTTAACCCTATATGCATGAACCAAAAAACTTGCACAAATGCATAAATATTTTCTTTAAAAAAACTGGTGTCCTATTAATTAAAGAATTAAATTATTTGATGATACACAAATGTTTAAAATATTAAACATGTTTATTTATCCACTGTCCTTGTATATTCCAAAAGATACATTTATTCTTTTTAAAATGCAGTTGTACTTTTTCTTAACAAACTAGTTTGGATCTACTGTAAAGTATTTGGTCTGAACGTTCCACATTTCTCACAGAACAGAACATTTCTCAAAAGATTTGCACCTTTCTAAACATAACTTTTGGGCAGCGTTTGCACCTCTTTCTTTGTTTTGGCCTTCAGCTGTCCTTCCCTGCAGCCTTTCCCTCCTCATCTACTGCATCTGAAATCACATGCTGTCTGAATAGACTCTACATTTGAGAACTTCATGACTGTTAAAAGGTCTGCATGTATATAGTATGAATAATGTATTGCCAAGCATGCATGTGAATAATGTCAATGCAATCTGAATATACTACATCCGCCACCATGTTGGCATTGTCATGTGAGCTATAGAGTGAGTTATGTTGTTTCCCTGCCATTCAAGTCTCCACTCCCATGGATAGTAAAGTATTAGGTCATCCAGGTACTTTTTTGCCTGCTGTTTTATGAATACTGTGAATTCAGACATACTAATAATTTCACATACTGCTTTTTCTCCTAGTAGGGAAATGTGTATTCATCGGGGTTGATGTCTGAGGCAAATTCTTGGCTCAGAGCTAAAAAGTCACAACAGATTTTTAAGCAATTCATCACGTTTCAAGAAAATAAATATTATCATTGATAAATATGTATCCAAAAATACTGTGCTGAGTAAAAATTCCATAGGAAATGAACATGGGTCAATTTGACCCCCTTTATGCGTTTTTAGGGTAGAGATACTTTTTCCTCACCCTATGCTAAGAAATATGAAAATTGATGAGGATCAGAAACAAGCTTTGTAAAGAATTCATGGAATATCAAATAAATAAATGTTTTTATTAATAAAATATATATTTTTTTAAACACAGTTTTATGCATTCTAGGGTTAAAACAAATATTGTTTTATATTAATTAATTTTTAAAAAAAAAGAAATATGTGCATGTAACGGTTTCATTTAATTCTGGGTACTACCCTTACAGAAATTTACCATGGTAACCATTGCTTCTGCCCACATACTATAGGCACCACAATGTGACACTGCTGTACATGGTATTACTCAGGTAACCGTGATTTTGCCAAGTAAGACATGTTCCTGGATCAACATATTTTGTTGATCCTGGAACAACCTTTTAGTTGTGGAACAAAGTTAAATTTAGTCCTATCCCAATCCCTACCCCTAAACCTAACCCTACCCATAACTTATTCCTAAAATCAGAGGGAAATGATAGGCGAATAACACTGATGTAGAAGCACCTAACCCGGGTTGTAGGCCTAAACTTGACATAAACTGTAAACTTTTCCTTTAAATGTGATTGGTTGATTGGAATATTGTTCCAGAATCAACAAAGATGTTGATTCAAGAACATGTTGTTGTATTACTCGCCAGTTTCATACAAAAATATTTTAGCAAAATGATAGAAAGATTCTAAAAGAGTATACTTTTGAAGTAGATTCCATAATAATTATAGTTCTAATTACTGTAGTAGCTATTAACCCTTTCGGTGGAAACTATTACCACAGTAAACATTTGTAAAAGGAACAATGACTCA